TTAATTCAATCACCATTCATCGATTGCCTCGAGCAGGCCCCAGTAACGTCTCCTTTGTCCTAGCCCTGAGATTTTTTAAAAAGTGCCACATTCAAGTCTCTTTCAGGGTTAAGAGAAAGAGACCCATCATTGTTACTGGTATTTGGCATATTGGGTACGCCACGGGGAGTTTGACAGACTCTGCCGTTTGGGCAGGTTACATTTGGTAGCCTGCCAGTTTGTCCAAAGTAGAAATGAGATAATAAGATGTCCAGGAGCTGGGTTTTATAGTCTCTGGGTCTTGATCATTGATGGGATTACACAGCACCAGGGGACCAGTTGGTGGATGTGACCCCTGCCTACTGGAATATGGAGGATCTGGGTGGAGGATGCTCAGCCCCGATCCGAGCAGGCTTGGAGATCTCAGCCCCAGGACCTGCACGCCTTTGTTCCTCTGCTGGTACTTCATGCATGTGGAGAGTGGTCTCAGCATGTTGGTGGCTGGTTCTGGAGGTCTTTGGCTGCCGGATCCCAGGTCAGGGTGGGGAGGGAAACTCAACCCGCTCCCCTCCAAGGGTCCCCGGCGAGGACAGCCAGGTGCGGGGGGAGGAGACTCTGCGCTGTTCTCTTCCGGGAGCTGGGTTTTATAGTCATTTTATAACCATTACAGTTAGAAGCTTTCATGTTTGAGTTACAATCATATAATGATCAAACACCCATCCCTCCACCAGTGTACATTCTCCACCACCAATGTCCCCAGTATACCTCCCCCTTTCCCACCCTCCCCCTACCTCCACATTGACAATTTCCCCCGTACTCTCTCTCTACTTTTGGGCATTATGGTTTGCAATACAGATGCTGAGAGGTTATCATGTTTGGTCCTGTATCTACTTTCAGCACGCCCCTACCATCCTAAATGATTCCTTCAACCATCATTGTCTTAGCGATCCCTTCTCTATTCCAAATGCCTTCTCCCCCAGCTCATGAGACAGGTTTCTAATTGTCTTTCTAACAGGGCAATATTCCTGGCTCTGTGTCTACTGTCCTTGGGTGTCAGTCTCGTATTATGTTATTCAAAGCATTTTCATAAGAAGTATGACATGACAGAGGTTCCGATTAAATCAGAGGAATATATTGTAGGAAAAACATGAGATCGAAAACTCTCAGACTGTAAATGAGTAGTAGCACTGTAGTACTGTCCTCCTGTTGTTCATCGATTTGCTTGAGCAGGCACCAGTAACATCTCACAACAAATTGTGAGACTTGCTGTTACTGTTTTTGGCATATCAAATATGTCACGGGTAGCTTGCAAGGCTTTGCCTTGCGGGCAGGATACTCTTGGTAGCTTGCTGGACTTTCCGAGAGAGGCGAAGGAATCGAACCCGGGTCAGCCGCATGCAAGGCAAATGCCCTACCCGCTGTGCTATTGCTCTGGCCCAAGTGAGTAGTAAGATTTTGAATTTAAAGTTTTGTAACAAAACACAGGGAACCAATAATAAACAGTTTTAACTTATATTTTAAAGTTTATGTATGTAATAGGGTGACAAATGATCAAATATGTTTAAATAATTATCATAGCTGTTTCAATACAAATTATTTAAAAGTATTAAAAAAGGAATATATTGCGTCACAGGTTATTTTATTTGGGTTTTTTTTGACGGGGGGAGGGCTACACCCAGCTATGCCCAGGGTTGTTTCCTGGTTCTGTCCTTAGGGATCACTCTGGTGGAACTTGGGGTACCATAATGGGATGCCTGGGATTGAACTTGGGTTGGCCACATGCAAGGCAAGTACCCTACATTCTGTACTATCCCTCTGGCCATAATAGTTTTAATAACAGTTTTCCTTCTTTTTTTTGTATATGTTAAACACTGGTGCATTCTACCATGAAAGGAGGTCTAGAATCAATGAGATCAGCCCCATTGTTTATACCAATTCCTGATTTAACAAAACATAAGGATTATTTTTATTACTTAGGGCTCTTTGGGGAGACTAAACAAAACTGCTTAATGTCAATCTAAATTTATTTTATTATATCACCAGTACATTATTTGCAAGATGTTTTCAAATGACTCAAACTGTAAAAATTTCAGTGCAATACTGGTTCTGTAAATCATCCTCATGAATAATTTTACTTATAAAAGTTCATTGTAACAAATTATAATGGTAGTATCAAGTACAAGAATATCAAGCATATGGGAAAGATTTTTTAGCTTATTTTGAATTCCAATTATCGTCTCACTTTTTCTTCTCCTTCCTCAGTAAGAAGCAACTACCTGTCCTCAAGTGTTGGAATATTTTTACTTTTATTAATTAAAAGCAGTTTTTGAACAAAGTAAAATGTCAAAAACTTTTTGTCTATGCTGAAGAGTCACCCAATTTTGATTTGACAAGATTTAGGGTAACCATTCCTCTGCCCTTCTTGGAGAGCCCAGCAAGCTACCGAGAGTATCTCGCCTGCGCAGCAAAGCCTGGCAAGCTATCCGTGATGTAGTCGATATGCCAAAAACAGTAACAACAAGTCTCACAATTTGTTGTGAGACATTACTGGTTCCAGCTCAAGCAAATTGATGAACAACTGGAGGACAGTGCAGTGTAGGGTGACCATTCTATTTCCCAGTCTGTTTTTCTTTTTTGGTGACCATATAACCCTTTTCTCAATATTGCAAGCTGAGACCGGGAAGTCTCAAAGTGGCAGAGTTTCTTTTTGATTACACCGTTAAAATAAAAATTATATACAGTGGAAGACTGCTAATTCTGGAATTTGTTGCCCTGTTCTATACTTTTTATGGGCACCAAGACTGTTCATTGTTTATTAAACACACTGAATTGCTAACTCAATTTATATGTTAACTTAAGTTGTATAGCTGAGTTATAAAGTTATCTGAAAGGAAAGGAAGATTATTTTACGTAGGTTCTACATCTCTGGATCTATTAAATTAAAAAATAAATGACATTAAGTTTATGGGTTATAAACATTCTTATAGAATTTGAACTTGAACTACAGAATCTTATTTTATTCATTACACCTTCAATCTATGCTTCATTGTGACCCTCCAACTAAGTCTGATGACCTATATGTAGTCTCTTCAAAATCTCTGGCTGACTCACACAATATAGATATGTCAATCCTTTTTGTAGTATAATTTTTCCAAGGGACTAAAAATCATTTTCAAACAATTTCTCATTTGTCTGCCATTCCATGGTAGGGCATTTGCCTTGCATGCAGCCGGCCCGACCAACCTGGGTTTGATTCCTCCGCCGGTCTCGGAGAGCCTGGCAAGCTACTGATAGTATCTCGCCTGCATGGCAAAGCCTGGCAAGCTACTCGTGATGTATTTGATATGCCAAACACAGTAACAACAAGTCTCACGATGGAGGTGTTACTGGGCCTGCTGAGCAAATCGATGAACAACGGGAGGACAGTGCTACAGTGCTCCACATAACAAATGGATAGTATTATCTATAACATTAATTATTAAGTGGATAATAAATAATGTTATGTGGACCTTTTCCTTTTAATATACTGGCTTTAAAGTAACATGAATTCACGTTAGTACAAAGACTCTAATTTGGTAAAAAGAAATACAGAAGCTGTAGAGCAGAGGGCAAGAGCATGTATGTTGATAGCTCTAATCTTACATGGTAACAAAATGCCTTCAGCATCTCATTCCTGCTGCAAGCTTAGAAATAGCAACTTGTTTTTCACCCTGTGCAATTATTTCGTCATTGCCTAGTAGGATTTGTAAGCCTTTCACATCTTCATGGGTTTAGTTTATGTTAGAGGGAAAGTAACTTTATAGCCCAACTATCTGTGTGATTTATCGCACCATTTGTGAACTGGAGAAGGGAGCGAGAACACCAGACTGTACTGTAATCAACGTAATCAACAGGTGACCAAAATAAGCACCTGCCCAAGGAACTGGGTGATTTAGAGATTTCTTTTCTATTACCAGAGACTGAAGCCCGGATGGTTATGCTATATTTTAACAGATGAGTTTATCAAATATGTAAGTGAAAGAAACTTCAAAATAGTTGCTTTGGATTAATTTTTGAGGTAATGAATAATTGGAATTTAAAAGATATCAAAAGTCAATGAAGAATGACCAGCTACCTAACTCCGGACACTGCCTTCCTTAAATAACTAGGGTACTGAAGTGAGACTGAGTTAGCAACCAGGATTGAATCGGCAGAGCCGTCTCCCAATTAGAGCAAGATTCTCGGTAGCCAGATGGTCCTTGTATTTATAGAAGCACGCAGTGGAAGCTTCAGAAGCAGTCGCTCAGGAATTGTGACTCTGGCTCGCCGCCTACCTGAACGGTTTCCGCCGGGTCTGTTTCAGAACCACGAGAGCGGACAGCTCCCGGGCCTGGGGCGCGGACTGAGAAAAGGGAGCGGAGCAAAGGCTGCTGGTCAGCGCTCGGTAGCTGGCCGGGGCCGCAGCAAGAATGCTTTGCATGCACCAGCCCCCACCCCATTCTTCCGTCACTCGGCTGGGCAGCAAAGGACCTGCGAGTGAGCACCCGGGTGGTCGTCCCTGTAAGCTGACGGACTGCCTCGAGTCCCCAGCAGTCGTCTAAGCCCCAGCCGCGGACTCCAGCCGCGGGCTGGGCGCGGCAGGGCGGAGACTACGGGGCGGGTCCCCGAGCAGGGCCCTCCCGGTCCCTCCCGCCCAGCCCGGGCCAGTCTTCTCATTGGCCGGCGGGCTGGAGGTGCGAGGAGGCGGAGCCCGCCCCTGGCGGCTCGCGTCGGGGAAGGTCGGCCTGGGAGCGCCGGTGCCTCGGGGAAGGGCGCGCCGGGACGCAGCTGGCGCGTAGAGACGCAGCGGCCGTGGCAGCGAGCAGCAGCAGCAGCGGCGGCGGCGGTGCGGAATCTCGGCAGCCGCCCCCGCCTCCCGCCGCGGCCCACAGCCGGCGGCGCCCGAGATCCGAGGGCTCCTTCCGCGGGCGGCGGGCCCGAGGCGGCCAAGACGGCGGGCCGGCCGGGCGCCGGGCGCCGGGCGCTGTGCTGCGGGCTGCGCTGGTGGGGGGCGGCGGGCCGCGGCGCGGGCCTGGGGCCCGGCGCTTGCGGCTGGGAGGCGCTGTGGGGCACGGGAGCGCGCGCGGCGGCCGGGGCCATGGCCGAGGGCGGCGGGGGCGCGCGGAAAAGGGCTCCGGCGCTGCTCGAGGCGGCCCGCGCGCGCTACGAGAGCCTGCACATCTCGGACGACGTGTTCGGCGAGTCGGGCCCGGACAGCGGCGGGAACCCCTTCTACAGCACCTCGGCCGCCTCTCGCTCCTCGTCGGCCGCTTCGTCCGAAGACGAGCGCGAGCGCTCGGGTCCCCCGCGGGCCGCCGCGGCCGCCCAGCCCCCGCCCCGCGCCGCCGACGCTGCGGAGCTGGAGGAGGAAGAAGCAGGTGCGGGATGGAGCGCCAAGCTGTGGGACCGCCCGTCCCCACGCTTCGAGGACACCGGAGGTAAGGGCTTGGGGAGGGTCGGGCGCGGAGCTGGGACCCTGGGTGACTGTGTCACCTCGCCCGGGGGCGGCTTGAGAATCCCATCTGCTCCGGCGGCTGGTTAGGGCGATGGCAGCTGCGCGTTTCAGGATAAAAAAGAGGCGGCGGGAGCAGGCACTTAAAGTGAGAAAAAAAGAGAAATCCATCTGACTGCGTGTGGGGGCTCAGACGTCCTCGTGGGTGGAAAGGCTGAGGCTGATGCCAATGGCAAGGACGTGCCGCGGGCCTGCTCACACTTCTTGGGAAGATGCCAGCCTCCTGTGGGATCCCACTTTATGGCTGCTGCTTAGGGTGACTTGATGAGAGAGGGGATGCTGCAAGCCCAGCACCCCCTGGGATCTGGAGGTGTCATTTTATACAGAGCAAACCATTCCCAGGTGCCAGTGGTGGGGGAATAAGTAGTTGGAGGTAGGTGCAGTGAGAGGGAGGTTACCCACTTTGTCTTTGCTAGGTTTTACTTTTATTTAGTTAATCTGAGAAACTTTCCTAACCTTGCCATGCATGATCTCTTGATACGAAGAGAAGAGTGAGAGAACAGTTTGCAGTGTTGGGGTGCATCTATTGAACCAGATGGCACTTTCATATGTGTTCTGCTTACTCTCTAGTTCACAAGCCCCATATCTGGAGATCACTACAGCCGCTAGTCACTCTGGTTCTTGACGTCCTCTTTATCGCCTCCTTTCGTGGAAAACTGGTTTTTTAAATACCACCAAAAGCTTAGCAGCCTGTGGCCTGAATGTTGAAGAGCCTTTTGGCTGAAGAGCCTTTTGGCTGTCCTCTGATGCTTTTTCTCTCATGTGCCACTGCTTTCTGTGGCAGGTCTGTATCCCAGCACACCATTTTCATTTGTGGAAGAGCATGCAACCAGTGTTTGTGAGTCAGGAAGTGGCCATGCTGTGCATGATGCAGCTTTTCCCATGGCTCTCCCTCATGATCAGTCAGCAATAGAATCCTAAGTGGGACAACCCAGATTGGTGCCTGGACTTGGATTGGAACATCATGCTGTTGTTTGGGTTGAGTGGACTCCAGCCAAGATTGGCCTGCAAATCTACAGCAGTCAGGCTACCCTGTGAATTTCCTGAGCTTCAAAACACTAGTGTTAGGATGTCCACCTGGGTACTGTAATGCTTTTGTATGGATACATTATAAAGCATGTTTTCATTTGTACTTTAGCAAAAGTTCTGGAATTTTCAAAATCACATCTCTTTGAATCACCCCCAACGTTTTTTGGAATGCATATGGTCTTTATAGCTTTGGACAGTTTTAGTTCCTATTTTTTTTGAGACCATATCCCGCAGAGCTCAGGATTACTCCTGGCTTGGTACTCAGGGGTCACTCCTGGTGGTTTTTTTGTGCTGTGCCAAGGATCAGACCCAGGTGGGCTGCATGGAAGGCATGCATCCTAACTGTTTACTATCTCTTTGGCCCCAGTTATTGTTCCTTTAAGAATTTCACTTGCTCAGAACCTGGTTTGGCATATTTTATGTTATGAGTGGTTGCGATCCAATTCTTGATCTTGGAATACTGAGATGGATGTTCATCTGACGGGATGCAGCAAGTCTCCCAGTATTTGAAGGGTTAATAGGGTAAGCTGCAATGAATAAAACCTTAAGTTGTACCGGGGTGAGAAGAATGAGTTTTGAAGCAATATTAGATTTCCATGTAAACCTGTAAATAGGAGAAATTCTGTAGAGAACAGTTTAACCTAGCTATTGTAGCACTTAATTAGATGTCCATGTAAACCTGTAAATAGGAGAAATTCTGTAGAGAACAGTTTAACCCAGCTATTGTAGCACTTAAATAACCATTGATGTTATATTCAAATTCTAACCTCTTTATGATGTCAGCTATCCAGTTTGCATATGGACCTGAGAGTGACAGTCAAACACTTTAATCAAAGACATAAGTGTTTATTTGAAGGTATTTATACCCAGTTGTGTTTCCCTCTTCTGTGTGGGAGCATACTTTTAAAATCCAGATCAAATTAAGAATTCCCTCCCCTAGAGGAATTTAAGGTGGAGGTGGAGAGATGAGGTTGATGATTTATTAAACATGAATTTAGAGTCCACGGAACAATGAAATTGGGGGCTTGCTGCTGCAAATAGATGGCAGAAATGTGTTGCTGGTCAGAGATAATCCTTGGGCTAAGTGGCATGGAGAAAGATGGGTATGTTTGTTAACAGGCCCCATGTGACCCAGCAAGCCCTGAGAGCAGAAAGTTTTAGTCTGCTAGGTTTATTAAAGTACAGATCTAAGACACTTCAACAAGCATGTTTGCCCTACTTTCAAGGAATGCTGGATCTTTCTATAATCTTTATTCCCCAGTTCAAGTAATCTCACTGGGTAAGTGGAGTGGAATGGGGACACAAGCAAGTGTGGCATTTTGATTAGCCCTCATTATAGACATTTCATAACAGAAATGGCTGTTGCTGCTAGAATCTGATGCGAAAGCAAAGGATTCTAGACTCATAGCTTTCTGCCTACCTTCTACTGTAAATACATGTGTACACATGTATGTAAATGTACTGTGTTTAAGTTAAAATGTATATCAATATGTACGTGTGTAACTTTGAATATTAGTGAATTGAATATTAGTGTACATTGCTGGTTTGGGCTAAAATAATGTTTTCTTCTATACTGTGATAAAAAGGAGCTATACTGTGTGAGCCCACTGATGTCGAAGAACCCTTTTCAGAGTCCTCATGACTGAAGAAGGTGTAGACACTGTGTCATTGTACTTTGGTCAGTTTTCACAGTCTCCTTTAGCCTGACCGGTAAGAGTACACACAGTAGAGAGACAGTAGATTCCCAGCTGAGAGGAGAGGAAGATATTTCTGCGGTAAATGTTGAGTCTCCTGGCTTCTTTTCATGATGGCTTGTCTTCCCAGACTCTTTCTCTTCCTTTTGTTTTTCTCTGTATTTAGCTTCCTGGGTGGGGTCTGCAGAAGTGTAGTTCACAATTATAGGTTGTGATGTGGTATAGAAGAGGGTAAGGGCAAGGGCAAGGGGCCCCTTTTTAAAACAATTTTTTATTAGTGAAACACCATGAGGTACAGTTGTAGACTTACAAATTTTTGTGCTTGGGTTTCAGTTATACAATGATCAAGTACACAACCCTCCACCAGTGCCCATTGTCCACCACCATAGATCCCAGTATCCCTCCCACCCCCTATCCCCTCTCTCCCACCCTGCCTCTGTGGCAGGGCATTCAAGGGACCCTTTTATCACCCCTTTTTATCTCTCTACTTCCACTACAGGCCTTGAGATGTGAATCCCCTTGGGGTGACTTCAGCACAGATTACTTGCAGTGCTGGGTTGGTAGATAGGCCCTAAAGATCTGTGTGGATGTAAGGTCAGTCAGCTGAGTGCTAAAATACTGGAACTGGAAGGTCTGGAGCCTTCTCTTAACCAAGTTTGTAGCAAATTCTCCCAGAATAGTCCCTTTCAAGCAGTAAATTTCATCTGCCCACTGTGCAGATAACAGCATAGCATGTGAGCTCAGCTTTGGAAGTAGCATGGAATTCAGGTGCCTCTGATTTTCTTTTTCTTTTTTCTTTGGCTTCTGGCCTTTTGGTTTCTTAATCGGTCTTGTTTGGTTCTTAGAGAATGGGCAAAAAAATGGAGATTTCTGCATGTGGGGAAGGGACACTCAGACATTTTATTTTGTTTGCCTGTGTTGTGGCTGGCTGGGATCTGAGCTCTTTCCTTCATTTAAATATGGAATTGGAAGCCCCCCTATCCTCTATGTACCATGCAGGGAGGTATGGCCTTGAAAAGTTAGAGGAAAACATAAGGCATTGAAAAATTAACGTTGTTAAATGGTTCAGTGACAGACTTGTTTATTTTATTTTAAAGTCTTTTGTGACAACAAGAAGCCTCATTCTCTTAAAACCAGTATTTTCTGCATTTCTTCCTACGATGTGTATTTCCTTCCTTTCATTCCGTCATCTTCTTGGCTTGCATCTACCCAAGATACGTACTTTCTTACTTTAGGGCACATTTCCCCATTATAGGGAAATGGCCTGCACATCTCTTCTTAAGATGTTTACTTTCCTCTTTCCACTACGGGGAAACCTGTATTCTCTCAGACTTACTTACACCTATCTTAATCTCTTTCCCCATTTCCCAAATAAACTCATTTTACTTAAACAACAAAACAGCTGGGGCTGAAGAGATTGTACAGCAGGCAGGGTTTGCCTTGCATACAGTCAACCTGGGTTCAGTCCCCAGAACCTCGTGTGGTCCTGCTAGCGCCGCCAGGAGTAAGCACCTGAGCACGGATGGGAGTGGCCTCAAACCAAAAACAAAATAACATCTCCACCCTAAACAGAATTAAATAAAAACCCAAGAGTGTATTGGTATTTTGTGAGCTAAAATACCTGGATCTTCTTTTCTGTTATCAATAAAAGCACTTGCGCCTAATTTTAACTTTTTATAACATTGTGGCTCCGGTAGGTACTCTGAATTTTAGTAAACAGTACAAGATAATCTTAGCAATTCCACATAATAATCAAACCATAGAACTCAGAGGAGGGAGCCTCTTGGGAAAGATGTTTTTCTCTTTTCCCAATAGTCTGTTCCTATCGTGGGGAGACTTGAGTTCATGATGATGATAACTAGCAATTGACATTTATAACTTGTTTTTCACATGTATCCTGGAATCTTCACAGTCTTCTCACTCTGCCAAAGAGAAGTTATTATTTCTACAAAAATATCTTTTCAATCAGTGAGGTGACAAGATTATCTAATTAAGTGATCATACACTAGTCATATATTCACATTTATACATAGAATTTTGGGGCAGGAATTTCAGAGTATATACATTTCTTTGAGGTGTAATACAAGTATAAGTTGGTATAGTCAATTTCTTAGTCATTGTATATATGGAACAGAAGAATTTTGTTTGGTTCCTTATTCAATCTGTGCTACTCCTGGGCTTTGTAAAGGGAGTGTTGGTGTTT